CCTGCCAGCATTTGTTATTGGTTGATTTCATGATAGCAGCCATTCTTTCTGGGGTGAGGTGGAATCTCAGTGTTGTTTTCATCTGCATCTCTCGGGTGACGAGTGATGTTGAACGTTGTTTCATATGTTTATTTGCTGCTTTTACTTCTTTGAGAAATGTCTGTTTGTTTCAGGTGCCCGTTTTTGGATTGGGTCTTTGAATTTGGGGGGTCTGTTTTTTCAGTTCTTCATATATTTTAGATAGTAGACCTTTGTCTGAGGTACAGCTGCTAAAAAATTTTTCCCACATTGTAGGTTGTCTCTTAGCTCTGTTGGTGGTTTCTCTTTGCAGAGCAGAAGCTTTTTAATAAGATGAGATCCCAGTTGTTGAATTACAGATTTTCTTTTGATTCTGGCCTGAGAGTAGATGCCCTTCATCCACCTGGCAGAGATTGCAAAATGATCACATTTTACAAGCAGATATCTGCCAGAGACTCCTGCAGTAAGTCTCTAGTCCCCACCTGCCCAGTGTGTGACACAAGGATGAAGAAAAACTTGAGACAGAGTTAAAGAGAAAGGGTGAACTGGGACAGCCAGTGCTCCTTTGGCAAAAGCACTGGCCCGTCTCTTCCACCGAATTTTATCATTCATCAATCAGGGTAAAGGTGAAGTCCTTGTACAGATGTGCAGTACGTGAAATTCCCATGGAAATCAATGCAGCCAAGGCTTTAAGGAGGAGTCAGAGCATTTTCAAATTAGAAGGAAGACAGACAAAATATATGGTTGTAATTAGAGCATTGTCCTTCAAGCTATGAAGGCACTAATTGTGGGAACGGAGTTTGGGTGCGATTACTCCGGCCTCAGCTACAGATGTTATCTCGGATCAGCCCCACAGCTTCACAGGCCGTTACTCTAGTCTCTGCAGTGGCCGTCAGCAGGAGGTCATGCTGACCTGCGTGCTACCGCAGTCCTCGTGAGATGCTTCTGTGAGTCACAGAGCTTCAGTTCGACTCGCTTCTTAAGGTAAGGCAATCAAGGGATTTAACTCTGCAGCCTGCACTGCTTACAGCATGTTTTGGGGCATAATCAATATTGTGGGCTCTGGCAGATTTCCAGTCACTGCTGCCCCAAAAGGGACTAACTTCCCAACAATATGCAAGTCAGATTCCCACGTGTGCATCAGGTTTTCTCTGATGGGCAGTTGAGGCTGGTCTAGTGGTCAAGTACTCATTAGCTGGTCATGGAAAGAGCCCAAACAGCTGGGTATGGCGGCATATGCCTGTAATCCTAGTACTTTGGAAGCTGAGGCAGGAGGGTTGCTATGAGTTCAAGGCCAGCCTGAGCTACATAGTGAGTTCAAGGCTGCCCGAACTAATAGTGAGACCTTGTCTCGAAAAAAAAAAAAAGAAACAGCTCAAACAGTAAGTTAGACAAGACAGAGGACTGGTGAACTTGACCAAGACTAAAACGGAACTTGAAAAAAAATGAGAGAGAGAATGAATCAGCAAATGTAGAGCTCTAGTGAGGTGTGGGATTTCTCTGGGAGCCAAGGATGTGCCTGGGCTCAGACAGCACATGAGGTGGGCTTCTCAGGGTCACAGGTTCGTTTCCTTCTGCAGGGAAATCCACTGGCTATCTTGGGATAGTTGGACAGTTGGTTTTCTTTTGTACCGGAGATCAAACCTGGGACCTGTGTATTCGAGGCAGGTGGCAGAACCACTGAGCTAAATCCCCGGCCTGACAGTTTGTAAAACTATATATGATATACATATGTACTAATAATTTATTTTGAAATAATTTCAAACTTTTAGAAGTTGCAGAGAGTATGCAAGTTTCCTGTGCCCACCTACATTCCCCCAACATTGATTTCTCTGTGTTCTCTCCCTCCTCCCTCCTTCTTCCAGCTCTCTTGATCTCCCCCTTCCCTCCCTTTCTGCCCACCTTCACTGTTGTCCCTGCTCCCCTTCTCTACCCCTTTCTGTTCTTCTTCCTCTTCCATAGCTCATGCACACAATCTCCATGTATCTTTCTGAACCACATGAGAGCATGCTGCAAGAATGATGCTCATAGGGGCCGGGGATTTAGCTCAGTGGTTCCGCCACCTGACCTGCAAGCAGAAGGCTCCAAGTTCGATCCTCTGTACCAAAAAAAAAAAAAAGAAAAATAAGGAATGATGCTCATTACTGCTAAATATTTCCCCACTCTTCTACTGAAGGACAGTTCAATCCTGCCAATGAGGAAATAAGCAGAGGAAGACACTACTCTCTGCTCCACAAACCTGATTTACATTTTCCAAGAATTTTTTTTGTACCAGGGATCAAACTGAGAACCTTACGCTTGCGAGGCAGGCACAGGCGCTACTGAGCCAAATCCCCAGCCCAAGTCTTCTTCATCTCTACATCAGAATCCATGTGGGAACACTGTATATATTTAGTTGTTATGTCTCTTTCTTTTCTCTTTGCAGTCCATGGAGTAGAGGCCTTAGTTTTACAGGATGACCCTTGAGGTGGATCTGTTTGTTGTTTTCTAGTGCTCAGAGGCAAGTCTTGCAGTCTTGGCAGGAATATCAAGGAAATGAGATTGTGCCTTCCTTGGTGCCAGTCAAATGGGCACATGATGTTGACTGGCCCCACACTGGATAATGTTCACCTTCACTTTTCATGGATCCACTGAAGAGTGTAAATTTACCTCTTGTTGAAGCTGTATCTCAGAGTTCTTCCTTTCTAAGTTAGGTTTGCTGAGTTGTAATGACATGCGACAAATCTATCCTTTTGTGTTGGGGGTATACCTCACTTGTAGAGCACTCGCCTCACATGCACAGGGCATGGTTCCAACACTGAGGAAAAGTCCACTCTTTTGAGTTTCAAGAACTATGTATCACAACCACATCCAAGATAGGGAACATTTCCACCTCACCCAAAAGTTCCCTCATCCTCTTCCGCAGTCAGCTCCCTCTCCCCACTCCACTCCTGTTGCCTGTCTCCATCATCCCTGGCAACCATGCAGCTGAAATCATGCTTGTTGCTTTTTTTCAGATTTCTTTTTTGGGGCTGGGCCTCACTCATGCTAGGCAAATGCTCTAACACTGTACTACACCCTAGCCCCTCAGAACGCTATGTTAATGAAATCATGTTAAAATTCTGTTCTTCTTTCACAGAGTGTAAAGCTTTTGGATTCATCCATGTTGTTATATGCATTAATTTTTTTTGTTAGAAGTATTATATGCACATACAGGATTTGTTTCTTCAAGAGTTGGTAGACATTTTTTCCGGTTTTTGGTAATTTTTTTAGCAAAATATTTATTGGTAAATTTTAGATATACATAATGATAACACACACCATAGGGAATTTGCACCTGTACATGGTATATTCTGCCTCTTCTTTTTTTCCCATTCCACCCTTCTTCTCAAGCCCATCTACCCTTCCTGTATACAAAAGCTTTGTTTCCATTTTTCCTTTTATTTTTCCTTTTTTTCTTGTCCTTTCCTTTCTTTCTTTCTTTTTTTTTTTTGGTACCAGGGATTGAATTTGGGACCTTGCAGTTGGGAGGCAGGCGGCAGAACCACTGAGCTAAATCCCCAGCCCTGTCCTTTCCTTTTTTTCTCCCTCTCTCCTCCCTTGTTCCCCTCTTCCCATTTGAACATTTTCTTCCCATTTCCCATTATCTATTATCATGTTAGCCCTTATTTCCACTTTCAGCTTCTCACACTGCAGAAACAATGCAGTATTTACACATGTGTGTCTGATTTATTTCACTTAAGTGTATGGTCTCAAGGTGCATCCATTTACCTAGAAGTGTCTTCAGCTCATCCTTCTTTATGGCAGAGTAGTACTCCACTGTAGAAAAAAACCCACATCTTCTTTATCCATTCATCAGTTGATGGGCATTTGGGCTGTTTTCAATATTTAGCTATTACAAACTGTGCTGCTATAAACATGGGTGTGCATACATCACTGTGGCATGATGCTTTTTATTCTTTTGGGAAGATACCAAGAAGGGGAATAGCTGGGTCAAATGGAACTTCTAGTTTTAGTTCTTTGAGGAATCTCCACACTGATTTCCACAGTGGCTACACCAGTCTACACTCCCACCAGCAGTGGAGCAGGGTTCCTCTTTTGCCACACCCCCGCCAGCATTTGTTATTGGTTGATTTCTTGATAGCAGCCATTCTTTCTGGGGTGAGGTGGAATCTCAGCTTTGTTTTCATCTCTTGAATAATCGGTGATGTTGAACATTTTTCTGAACATCTCTGAGAGGTGTCTATTCATTTCAGATGCCCATTTTTGGATTGGGTCTTTAAATTAGGGAGGGGTATGTGTGTGATTTTTTTGAGTTCTTTATATATTCTAGATAGCAGTCCTTTTTTTTTGGAAAACACAAGGCAAGGCTTTATCAGGGAAGGAGCTGCTGGGCTACCTTGAACAGTAGCGAGAGACAGCAGTCCTTTATCTGAGGAATAGCTGGAAAAATTTTCTAACCACACTGTGGGTTGTCTTTTCACTCTGTTGGTGATTTTTTATTGGGCAAAAACTTTTTTTTTTTTATTGGTACTAGGGATCGAACTCAGGACCTTGCGCTTGCGAGGCAGGTGGCAAAACCACTGAGCTAAATCCCCAGCCTGCAAAAGCTTTTTAATAAAATGAGATCCCAGTTGTTGATTCTTTGTGATAGTTCCTGTGCAATCAGAAGTTTGTTCATAAAGTCTTTGCCTACACCAGTGTCTCCAAGAGTTCTACCTATTCTCTCTTCCAGCAGATTTAGTGTTTCTGTTTCAATATTTAGATCTTTGATCCATTTTGATTTTAGGATAGTGCATGGTGAGAGACATGGGTCTAGCTCTTGTCTGCAGACTAAAAGCTAGTTTTTCCAGCACCATTTATTAAAGGGGCTATCTTTCTTCCAGTGAAGGTGTTTTAGCTCCTTTATCAAAGATAAGGTGCTGAGTATGTCTGGAGTTGTTTCTGCATCTTCTAATCTGTTCCATTGATCCTGAGGTAGGTCTGGCTTTTTTGCCAGTACCATGCTGTTTTTATCACAGTCACTTTGTAGTATAATTTCAAATCAGGGATTGTGATACTCCCAGCCTTGCCTTTGTTGCCCAGAATTGCCTTTGCTATTCTAGGTCTCTTCTGGTTCCAAATGAATTTTAGGATTTTTTTTCTAATTCTGTGAGATATCCTGTTGGAATTTTTTATTGGGATTGCATTGAATCTGTATAAAAATTTTGGAAGTATGGCCATTTTCACTATATTGGTTCTTCCTATCCAAGAACAAGGGATGTCTTTCCATTTTCTAATATCCTCTTCGATCTCCTTTTTCAGAGTACTGTAGTTTTCACTGTAGAGGTCTTTTACTTCCTTTGATAGATTGATTCCTAGGTATTTTATTTCTTTGGATGCTATTGTGAAAGGTGTTGCTTCCCTAATTTCTCTCAGAGAGTTTATTATTTGTGTACAGGAAGGCTATTGACTTCTGAGTGTTGACTTTGTATCCAGCTATGCCACTGAATTTGGTTATCAAATCTAAAAGTCTTTTGGTGGAGCTTTTAAGGTCTTCTATGTAAGGTATCATGTCATCCGCAAATGATGACAACTTAACTTCTTCATTTCCTATCCTTATTCCTTTTATTTCCTTCTCTTGTCTAATTGCTCTGGCTAATGTTTCCAGATCTATATTGAACAAGAGTGGAGATAGTGGACATCCTTGTCTTGTTCCTGATTTTAGAGTGAAAGCTTTCAGTTTTTATCCATTTAGTATGATTTTGGCTGCTGGTTTGTCATAGATGGCTTTTATCAGGTTGAGATAAAGACCCATCTATACCAATCTTCTGTAGGGTTTTTTTTCTTTATCATGAATGAGTGTTGGATCTTGTCAAATGCTTTTTCTGCACCTATTGAGAGAATTGTTTGGGTTTTGTCCTTGACTCTGTTAATATAGTGTTTTACATTTATTGATTTGTGTATGTTGAACCATCCCTGCATCCCGAGGATGAGTCCTATTTGGTCATGGTGTAAACCTTCTT